GGGTCCGTTCGCCGTGACCCAGGAGGGAGGGGATGCTAGTCCCGTGCTCGCCTCCCTTTTTGCTGGATCCAAAGGGAATATTAGCTCTGTCCACGCACTCTCCTTCTCCTTTTGCCGTGCAGCGGGGACCCAGAGGAAAGGGCTGCTAGTCTTATGTACGTACATATCCTTCCTTTTCCTTTGCAATGCAGTAGGAATGAGGATGCTAGTCCCATGTGTGCACTTGTTCCTGTTGCCTTTGAAACACAGTGAGGATTCAAGGGGAAAGGGGATGCTGGTTCAGTCGGCAGCCAACCTCCTCTGCCAGCCTAAGGGATGAGAGCTAGCTCCCCCTCCAGTTCCTTTAGCTTGCCGTGCCATATGAACTCAAATGGAGAGAGATGCTGGACCTGTCCCTCCACAGACATGGAGAATCTCACCAGGAAGGGTTTCTGCCTTTCCATCCTCCCTGCGGGGAATGGAGCGGAGACTGTCGTGGTGTCACTGTGAGGAGGGAGAGGGGAAGAGGAGACACTGTGCGTCTTCATTCTGCCCTGCATTTTTTTTGAAGAGTGGGAGAGCATGTGCCCGCTTCCCTCCGTGGTCTCCTAATTGAAATGGAGGGTGTGGGGGATTATAGTGCAGTTCTTCCTTAATACCTAACAGAAGTGGAACAGGGGAGTACAGCACTGGGGTTTCTTTCCCGCTGACTAATTAAAATGGAGTTGGGAGAATAATGTATTCTCCTTTTCTGCCTTCATGTGGGTGGGAATGGGTCGGGGAAACGCTGCCAGTGCTTGCACGCAATGAGTGAGTTCCTCTCCTTTCTCCGCGATCAGACTTGGGTGGGGAATGACTAAGGTGACATTCTCCTCTTGTCTTCTTGCTTATACAGGAGTCTAGTTTCTTGTTTTTTCACCTCATTTCTCTGGGACAGATAACCGTGAATTAATCCACCTACATATTGCCTTTCTAAAAGTCTGATGACTTTTTTTTCTCCTTGCTTCCCCTTGAGTAACTTCAAAATGTATTTGGAAAGAAAAAATTCCCTTGTGGGAGTCAACCCTTTTAATTCCACGACTTTCACTCTTTCTAATAGTCGTCTATGCGGGTCTTAATTTGTCCTTTACAGCAG